CATTTGTTACTTTTCCCTTATATTAACTACAGTAACTTCCGATACTGAGATAATGGATTTATCCGCTTCAATGCCGAATGTTACATGTTCTTCTTTGTAATCTTGATAAATAAATAAAGCTTAAACCAAACCAACCTTGATTTGATATTTCTCTCTATAATTATCCTTTTTATAATAATTATCGTGTCCATTTTGATAAATTGTATGATGCATTTTTATTGGATTTAATATATATTTATATAATAATTGTCTGTATGCATTTTCTTTGTCCTCTATGCCAAGTTTGGACAACGCAGGGGCTGAGGACATAACATGTTCAGTGACTGCACCTAAGATAATATAATTTGAATTGGAATATTCAAATTTCGTTCCGGGTTTAAAATCTAATGGTAAATAACTAAATAGTTTTATCAACTCATTTAATGCATATCCTTTTTTTACATATACTTTTTCAAATAGAGGTAAGGAAGCATCCGTAAAAAACATTCATAGCATAACCGCTTTTCCTCGCGTCTTCAGTCAATAACAGAAAAATTCTAAATTTTAAAATGCATGTTTCTTCAAAAAAAACTAGCATAAAAGCATCATAGTGTATCTATTTGTGTATCTATCATAGTGTATATCCATTTGATGAACGCAATCTTCGTCTCTTTCAGCGTAATCAAGATTGTTTAGGCTCCTTTTACTTTTATAAAAATAGCAGTGTGTATGACAGAATCGATATATAGATATCATGCAAGCAAATGAAAAAAGTTAAGAGTGACAATGTGTATACATAACACACGTGTCTGTATCAAGTATAAATAAAAAAAAAAAATAAAAGAAATATATATTGAAATTGCATATAGGAACAAATAATTATATGGGTTCCTGTTGGTTTCTAAGTTATGAAAAGATCCTTCATCTCTCGTAAGTTTTTTTTATTGTCGCTTCAGTCTACAGAAATGACCTTTCTATTTTTCTGCTTTCTCCTAGCGTTAGTGTTAGAGTAGAATTTTTAACGAAACTTACTGAGTGGAGAATCACATAGAAAAAAGGTACAGTTAATGCAAAAGAAATTTATTTTTCAGTTTACATATTCAGTTATACATATTCTGATTCATCTTATCTAGCTGATCAAGAATATTACTTTTTAACCCTTAAAAATCCTTTCTTCATGGATAAAAGCTTGAGATACTGAGAGGGTCTCAAAAATCGAAAAAAACGACCTCTATCAAAGAACTGATTTTTTGAATTTGTATTGTAAGATGTTCAAAGTATATTTTTCTGAATCAGCGTTGAAAACTGATTTAGAAACGGATGTTTAGTTCATTTTAGAGGTGAACACCTGTCCGCCTTGGATGTCCAAACCAAGGGATGTCAAATGAGTCTGACTCATTTTGTAAACCTGTCTAGCCTTTTTGGTGGACAGTTATACCTGTGATTCATACATCATTAGATTGGCCAAGATGCCAGCTTCAAATATATGTCGATCGTTTTCTAAAACTTTCTTTCATTGCTGAGAAAATTCATTTTTTCTAATTAGAGGAGAAAAACTCAGAATTCGGCCCGTAAGTCTCAGTTTTCTCGATCAGAAGTCGACATCTAAGCAATACAAATATCATATTCAGAATCAGGATCAAAAACTAAGCCGCGTGATGTTTATTTCTATCTTATCCGACTACTTTCATTTTTTTCGAATTTTCCCATTAAAAATTTACCAAGATTTTCACCCGAAAATGAAAATCAACTAGAAATTGCTAAATACTCATCAGTCCACTCAGTTTTTATCCATGAAGAAAAGGTTTTTAAGGGTTAAAAAGTAATATTCTTGATCAGCTGGATAAGATGAATCAGAATATGTATAATAAACTGAAAAATAAATTTCACTGAACTTTTGCATTAGCTATACCTTACCTTACACTCAACTTCCTTTTCGGACCGGGATAGTTCGGTGGTTAAGTTGTTCCACTCGTACCCACAAGGTACTGCGTTCGAATCTCAGCGTCACTCAAATATTTAATTTTTTTGGGCAAGTTACTCACGGTCTATTGCCTCGGATTACGCATCCGATAGCCACCTCACTATATTGTGGCACACGTGAGAGTGTTTACACTCTTTCAATGTGTATCAGCCTAGTTGAGAGAGTATAGGGAGCTCAAGCTGTATGGGTTGAGTAGCGGGAGTAGAACACACTATAGCAATGCACAGGATGGGGATGAGAACACCTCAGAGTTTACTTTTGGACAATTTAGTCCAAAAGTAAATTCTTTGCATTTGAATTCAAAGTTCA